ATATATGTATATATATATATATTAAATTATATTTAAATGATGTTTTAATATAAACAATAAGATTTAAATCTCAACCAACCCTTAACATCCTATGACTGCGTGACTAGGGTTATCAAAAGAGTTCTTTGTTCGTGAACAGCTTGTGTTGGGCTTGTTAAGCAAACAAGCCGAACACAAACACATTTTTTTGTGTTTGAAATATAAACAATTCAAACACGAACAAGAGTATTTTTTAACGAGTCAAGCACGAGCTGAGCCCAGACTCCTCATGTTCAGCTCGTTTACACCCCTACACACACTAATCAAAAGAGATTAGCTAGATGGCCCTAGTGCATGTCTTGAAGGTTGATGAACCAAGGTTTAGTATGTAATAATGAGGAGGCATGTGTAGAAGTGAAGGTAGAACATTATGTAATGACAAAATGCCACAAAAAGTTTCATATTGAGTGATGCCTCTATAGAAGAATCATATGTGAGTGTATGAAAAATAACTCCTAAAAGACCCAACTATCATAGAGCGCACCCAAAATATAGTATCAACAAACAATGGCAAATTCCCAACAACAAAAGGCTATTACTTGAGTCAATATTTGACAAAAATGTTAGATATTATTTACCTTCATTTTATTGAACTTTAAAAACTCTTCATATGAAACATCTTGTAAGCTCATTATTTATGGAAAAAAGCATCTATCTTGCCTTACCATCACCATCATATTTTTTTGTCCAAACGGTCCTTAAAGTTTCAACTGTTGACACACTCGAGTATAGCTTTTCATGCAGAAGGTAGGCAACATATATATTTAGATAAAAATTGAAGCATATGTGTTAGATGCATGTAAGAATTGAGCGGTATCATGAATCTCTTGTTCCCGGTCTAAATTTAAGATCATCAAAACCCCAATTTCAGTAAATTTGTAGTAAAACAGACCATATTGACAAGACGAACCTAATGATACTAAAATTGGTTCAATCTGAGTTCCATCAAGGCAAATCAAGTCATTAAAGCATAATTGAAGGTTTTGGATCATTAATTGAATGGACAAATTAACTTCAAAGTTGACATATTTATAGTCAAGTTGAGCGTCTCAATGAGAGGAATCCAACGAGCTCAAACTCGCTTAATTCTTAGATCATTAACACCCTCAAATCATTAAAAAAATCTTAGATCAAGAGAAAATAATATGGGTCATCTGATCAAATATTTAGAGAAGTTATTCACTGAAAAATCAAAATACTCCTACCCCGAAGGATATAAATTGACTCTCTTTTTTCACTTGGAGAGAAGGAATTCCAAAGTGGATTGAGGCTCAACAATAACATATGTCATCCGTAGTCGTTGACCACCGTCGACCATCACCTGTCGGCTGACGTCAACCACGACTGACCGCACAACCCCTATTTGCTAAGGTTGTATCTCAAATATGGTTGTAACATATAACGTCGTATGGAAAATCTGGTGATAACTTCCGATCTCGGTAATAGTTGACCACCGCCTGTCAGCCGCCTCTGCCACCGCTACTTGTAATGTCATATCTCAAATATGGTCATAATGTATAATGCCATATTGGAGACCTGACGATAACTTTCAGCCCCGATAACTATCGACCATCGACTATTAACCATTGTTGACCACCACCTGTCGCCCCTGCTCATCACTGTCGGTGACTCCTGCTTGCTAATGTTGTATCGCAAGTATGGCTATAACGTATAACACCATATTGAAGATTCAATAATAAATTTTGGCCTATGCAGTTGTCTTTCCATCTCTCCATGTGTTGCGTAGCTAATAATATATACTTTTAATTTCAATAGATTAAGCGTGTTAGGTCAACTTTAAATGAAGTCATTATAAATCTTAATCAAATCGATCATCCATTCCATCAATCATTTTTTCCTTGGCAAACTCAAACAAGCTATTGATGGCTTACCAAATCCGTCTACTAAAATATCATCATTAATAACTATTCATATATACAATAAAATTAAATTCTCAATTACATCCCCATATATCAATTCCTGCAACCTCTCCAATGCAATCCTTCTTCCAAGCCCCAGTGAACAATAATGAAAAATTCACAAGCATCCATCCGCCGGAACAATCTACAGCAAACAATCCATGAATCTAAGCCACGGAATACCTGTCCTGGACCCCTTCTGTACCTCCTTCCAACATCCCGGCGGCGAAGAAGGCACCGCCCCAACGGGCAGATCTCCGATCCCCGAACCAGATTTCCGCTTCGGCCAAAGGAGAAAACTCCTCGAACCAACATTCACCAGGTTCTCCTCCGGATCCAAACCTACATAACCGATTCATTGATTAATCAATAAGAACGGGAGGGAGGAACAGAGTTACAGATCGGGTTAGGGTTTCCGACTTACTTTCCAGGCTGAATTGGGAATAGTGGAGGCCGAATGCGGACGGATCCGTGGAGCATAGTAATGGAAGTCTTTCTTCTTCGATGTAGATCTTAATCACGGCCGCCATTAAATCAAGTACCGTCCAATCCGTTGAAGCCATCACCTGAACCGGACCCAAGCTTCTCTGCACGGTCACTTTCACCAGAATCTTTGGTGGATGCAATCTTGGAAGGAAGCCGCGGCGGGCGGAGCGTCCGAATAGAGTCGAGGAGGTCCGGTTTGGTCTTCGGCCGACGAATCTGTGGTAGATCGGATGAAGCGGTTGCCGGCGATCCATGAAATGAGGCCGGCCGCCCCGGCGGCGGGCCGCGGAGAAGCTTTGATTGAGCGGGGGAAGGAGCCATCTGGTTGCTTAATGAAGAAGTCAGGCTGTGGTGGGAGCGAAGGGCTGTTGAGGGCTGAGGGTCTTTTATAGTTCGGAGTACGGCAGAGGAAGAAGTTGTGGGGCCCACAGATAGTGATCACATTTCCATTATTTTCTAATTGCGTGGTGAGATTATTGGAGGAATTGAGTGATTCAGCAATTTTGTTATAGAAATGTGGCTTTCAGATTATATAATTATTTAAGAATTGAAAATTTCAATTTGAAAAAAAAAAATTAAATGGATAAATGTTTGGATAAATATTTTGAGCAACAAGTTAAAGGAGAAATTTTAAAACAAGAAAATTTTAATATTTGAATATCAAAAAATGATAGTTTAGAAAAATATTTATAAAATAGATAAAATTGCAGACTTATATGATGGCCACCATACTAAGGGTGTGTTTGAGGCAGCGGTACAGTGACTATGTGGTGTTGCACCACAATTACTTTTCTGTTTAGCTAAATTGTGTTTTGTCTGTGTTCTCAAAAAGCTACAACTGAAACATATGTTTTCCCATCAGACCTGACTACCTATGATAGCTGCTAGAAAGTTGTTGTAGCTGTAGCTGCCCCAAACTGACCATAAATTCTCATGTCGATGATGTTGAGTAATTTTACTAAGAGTCATCATGTCACGCCATGTAAGTCATATAGGATGATGGGTTTGGCAATTTTTTAATTTTTTTTTTTAAATTTGTCGTCTTTAGTATTAAAGTCATAAAAACTTTATTTTTTGGTTTATTTTTTATTTTTTTAATCATATTTCATTAAATATATTATCATTAAAATTAATATAAAGATTACTATAATTATTTAAATTTGATTTATTGAAATTTT